AATTAGAAAGTAATTTGTTGATATGTTTATGATTAATTATAACTAAGAATCATTGAATAGCAAGGCGAAGGAGTCTAATAATAGGTACTATTCCTTATATTACATATTTTTAGGCAGTAGGTCTCACTTGACACATATGAATTTGATTTTTGCTGATTTGTTGGACTATTTGAGATGAAATAATATCACTAAATATACCGTATGACTGGGGAACGACAATCGGTGACACAATCGGACCCTATTTACTAAAAATTGATGTAAAACTTGTCAAAAAGTAAAACTAATTTAGGAAGATTCAAAATGAATAGAATATGTTTCTCGAATTTTAAACTACGCCATATACAAATCATTTTTACTCAACATAAAAATAAATTACAACCCTCCTAAGGCCCACTGGCAGTATAAGCGCCGTTACAAAATAAAGAAGAGTACGGGGCAAGGAAATTACGTCTAAGGCTTGACCTCGTCAAAATTATTATCGATTGTCATTCCCCAACCGTCTTTGACGCTGTTTTTTTTTCAATCGTATAGTAGTAGCCTCTAACTAGGTGATGCTATACTAAATTTTTGTTTGTTTATATCATAATTCTATCAAAAATAAACCATGTCTTTCAAATTTTCTCAAAAAAAAATTATGCCAAAGTCCTGCTACTAAAAAGTGGATCAGCATCTCTGTTATATACAGTGTGAGTCTTAAATAAGGGCAAATATTTTCAGGGCTGGTCGATCTAGGTAAAAGAAAACATATATTCTCTTTACCGTTTGTCAAATACATCCAAAATAACCAATTCTAATTTCAAACACGTACAAAAAAAGTTTGAAAATTTAAAAAAATATATTTCTTTTTTAAAAAATTTGAGAGCCACTGGATTTTTTTCTGTATTTGCATCCCTTTTAGTGCCGTAACCAAAATAATATTATACAGATTAAGAAATTATACCGTGGCAAAATTTGCGGTAAAGAGGCAGTTCTAAAAAGTTTTCTAAAATATACAGGTATATTTAAAAATCTTTTTTGAGAAAAAAACTCATAGACGGGTTCCTTGGGTCGAAATATACCACCTCTAAAAATATTTGCACTCATTTGAGATTCTCCCTGTATTTTGTAATCAAGAACCTGAACTTAATTAATCATCTAAAAGAAGATGACACCTTCTTTTTTAATTCTTTATCGACCTTTTTCCAACAATTCTCTTTAATAACAAAATTTTTGTAATTTTTGTCTTCATAATCATAAATCACGGGATATTTTTGTATTTCGTTGATTAAAATTTCATCATCATTTGACGTAAATGGCGCCATTTTTTGCCCTGGTCAACTACGATTTTCTACGAGCAGTCATAAAGATATATCAAAGAGGTAGACGTCTTAAAATACTTCGTACTATTTACCCGATAAACCCGATTAAAGTTTTTAATCACTACCACCAGGGTTGGGTAGGTTTGGTTTGGTTTGGTATTTTCTACATTTTTTACATGTTCAGACGTAGAAAAGTATCTAGTTCTGTATAGTGTAAGCCTTTTTTGAGTTTATATTTATTTCAAATACTTCACTCACAACGATTAGTACAAGAAATGTACTAATAACGATATTTCTATTAGTTATTTATTATTTAACAAATGGGTATAGTTTAGTAAAAATAGTCGGCTGATGGAACGAGACGAGAGCCTGTACCTCTACGCCACCGGGCACCTTTGAAGGGTTGCAAGCCAAATTTGTTCCATTTGAAACTGTACAAATCAGTGCAGCGGCTGGAGACGCAGCTGCTAGCCGCGGCACCGAAATCGCACCTTAATAAAGTTGGGATGAGTTTTTACGTCTATTAAGCTATCTTTTTTCTAAAAAGAACAATGTTCGACTGCAAGATCTGCTAGTAAAAAGGTTTAAGCTTGAAATATCATAAAAACAAAAATAAAGTGTCAAAACGAATGACAGTGTCAGGAAAAATAAATAAATAAATGTGGCAACTTGACATTTTTTACAGCAGAGCTACCACCTGAATCCCCAGCGCGAAATTTAAATTCCAGTTAGTCAGCCATGGTTGGCAACAATGAATTTAAAAATCGCGCCCTCGATTACGTAACTAAAAGTTTAATTGATATAAAATATATTTAGTAATCAGTAACAGATATTAAATTAAATAATAACTTAGAAAGTAGTAAGATCTGAATTAAACATTCTATAGAATTTATTAAAACATGCAGAACTTAATATTTAATTAAGTTTATTATAAGAAACCTAATTCCGCGATATAATTTTATAATTACTCGGATATTTATCGCACGTAATTGTTTATCGGATTAATACGTACGTTTATTACGGGGACCCGGTATAATAATTTCTATAAAATTTTAATCGGTCGTAAAATCTTAACGATACAATTCCGCAGTTTTTCTCCTGGCGTCGAAAATTTATGTTTCCGCAGTGCGCAATCGCCTTCGCAACACTCGACCGATGACTTTGGTCCGAGTACGAATTAACGATGGCCGTCAAACTACCACCTGAAGGTAATTCCATCTATTTTTACCTGGTTTTGGAGCTCGTTTCATTGCAGTACATGTTTTTGACAAGCATATTTCAATAGCGGCTTATAGTCTTAGAGCTAGCAACGTTTTCGAGAAAGTATTTTAAGACGTCTGGCTCTTTGATATACTCTTTTACTATGCTCTCTGGAACAGTATGCGGCCCGTCTGGCTGCCGATACCCGTTGCGTTCACTACTGCGCATCGGAAGAAGATCCTATATTTTTTTTTAATTTAGTCCTATAAATTCTAGTATTGAATATAAATCGAACATGTCTCCATAGCGCAGTGCGAAGAGTTTCCGACTACGAACCGAGGATTCGGTTCGTAGTTCGAATCCGGGTCAGGGCAAAGATTTTTTATTTTACTTTCCTTTATATTCTGATAGTAAAGTATTAAATAATTCTGGTAATTAAAAAAAACAATATTTAATACTTTACTATCAGAATATAAACGAAAATAAAATAAAAAAGTCTTTGCCCTGACCTGGATTCGAACTCTGACTCCTCGGTTCGTGGTCGGAAACTCTACGCATTGCGCTATGGAGACATTTTCGATTTATATTCAATACTAGAATTTAAAGGACTAATAAAAATATAGGATCTTCTTTCAATGCGCAGTAGGGAACGCAACGTTTACCGGTAGCCAGACGGGCCACATGCTGTTCTAGAGAGCATAGTAAAAGATATATCAAAGAGGCAGACGTCTTAAAATACTTGTTTTTCCGACGTTGCTAGCTCTCGTACTATTATCCGATAAACCCGATTAAAGTTTTTAATCACTACCACCAGGGTTGGGTAGGTAGAAAATTTTATATTTTCTACACGTAGAGAATTAATTTTCTACATTTTTTACATGTCCAGACGTAGAAAATTATCTAGTTCTGTATAGTGTAAGCCTTTTTTGAGTTTATACTTATTTCAAATACTTCAATCACAACGATTAGTACAAGAAATATACTAATAACGATATTTATAATAGTTATTTATTATTTAACAAATGGGTATAGTTTGCTAAAACAAAAGCTAAACTACAGGGTGGCGCCTCTCATACGCCGCGGAAGCTCCAAGTAGAACGACAGTCTGTATTGAAATGAAATTTTGTAAGCATATTATGTAGGTTAATTCAGAACACTTTTTAAAAATATAGAGGGTTCTACAGGGTGTCCACAAAAAAGTTACATATCAAAGTTGTGTTTTTTTGTAATGGAACACCCTATATATTAATTGATTTTCGGATTCTGGGCGAAAAATAAAGGTGACTTTTTTTGGAGAAGTATATGCCTAAAATGTAAGGTTTTTGGCATATTTAGCATTTTCTAGAACTAAAGAACAATTTTTAAATTACAATAAAAGCTACCTTGGAATTTACCCGGTATAGCCTAATATTTAGTTAAATTAACTATTGTACTTTAAATCAAATTAAAATTTGATCCAAAAAGTTATACAGGGTGAGACAAAATTAATATTGAACATTGGTCACAGCATGTTACTCTTTTATTTTAAATGGAACACCCACAGTATATTATTTTCCCATATTCAATGGAGAATTCATGTCTCTTCAAAATACTCCTCAAACAAATATATTTTCATTTACATGATTTGATCTGAGTAGATCTTTATTATTTGATAAAATCTAGGTGGCTGTGATATGTCTGACTTTACTTCAACATAGCTGCCTAATTAGTCCAACTTTAACAACTAGTTAAAACTCAGTTAAAACAAAAAAATTTCTCAGAAATTTCCCGAAAATGCAAACTTATCCTACATCAGAGAGAATTGATATGATTCTATTAGTTGGTGAATGCAGTGCGCATGTGCATTCACCAATTAATAGAATACTTAAATGCTCCTGATTTTATCTAGTTGTTAGTAGTTAGTACGGTTTTTTATGGGGATATGTTTAAGACAGTATTTACAAAACTCGACCAACTATTGTCGACAACTAAAATAAACGAGTTATATGGAAAACCCTGCATTATGCAAATTCATTAACCCAATTTCGAAATAATCCAGACTATACTTTATACTACAATTAATATTTTGATCGCACGGTTATCAGCCTTCAGTATTAGACAACTAAAAAAGTTGATGATTATAAATCTATAAATTAAAGTGCTTTTTACAATTTTTTGTGTTTTTTTTTGCGTGACAAAACGACCCTCTTTAAAAAATAAGTCGAATCGTGAAACAGAAAATTAATACTGCATCGATAACCGCGAGCTTTTGTCAGCGTCTGCTGACTCGGCGTCCATTCTCTCCGCCAGATTTAATTCCCTTTGACTTAACTATTGTTTCCTAGCGTCTAGCACGCAGACCACACAAAGAAATCGTCGGCCATATCAAATTTCATAGGGGTATCCTTTTTGTCTCGTTTCATTTCATTTTTTCATTTACCTCGCCGTATAATCATTCAATGTTCATTCACTCGAACGAATACACATATTTTTTTTATTAATTATCTTTTTTTTTCGTTCTAGGTACTCTCGATCCTGAGGAACTTTCGATCGAACAACAAAATCAACAACAACAAACCTCACCGCATCATTCACCTTCCAGCACTCATCTGGCTGAACGCGTTACACCTCACGAATCCGCCCTGAGTCCCAAAGAAGACAGTACCAATCAGAGCTCGTTGAGCACCATGTACTCCCATCATGCTCCTTCGAACAACAACAATCTGACAAAATTACAACACAGAACCGTTCACGGAGGATCACCGGGGCTTCAGAGTAACATCCAGATGCAACAGTCCCAAGGGAGTCCTCTAGGGTTAGGGACGCAAGGGATGAGTCACAGTCCTTCGGCGGTTGGACAGTGGTTGTTACAAAGCGGTGATAAACCAATGTATCCTTCGATGTTCGGATTTCTGCAAGGGGGTACGAGTCAGACGAGTCAGAGTCCTCAACAGTATACCAGTGCAACCCCATCGCCTGCTGGAGGTCAGTACGATGACCGAGGAACGGAACAGTTGATGCTGAGCATGGATTGTAGTTCGAGTTTGTCGCTGAAACAACCTCCGAGTTATCCTAGTTGTTCCAGTGCGACCACGACGCTTCAACTGGACATGCAACAGTCGGACTTAGTGTACTCCCGCGTCGGACAACCTCTTGTAGCACCCGCCGCGAAATACCAGTGGGACACTCAAGAATACTCGCCTCAAGGTTCGGTAGTGCCCGGTCCCAGCTCGTTAGTACCTAAACAAGAACCTTTTTCAACCTCGTGTGGAGCGGAATTACAACAAGCTCCTTCACCTTACGGTACGGTTCAATTAGCTGAGTACAATCCATCTACGTCAAAGGGTCACGAGATTCTTTCACAAGTTTACCAACAGAGTCCTGTACCGTTAAAGTTGGTGCCGGTAAAGCCACGGAAGTACCCGAATAGGCCGAGTAAGACACCGGTACACGAAAGGCCCTACGCGTGCCCTGTGGAGAATTGCGACCGAAGGTTCTCGAGGTCCGACGAACTGACGCGACATATCAGGATTCACACCGGTCAGAAACCGTTCCAGTGCCGGATCTGTATGCGCAGCTTTTCCAGGTCGGATCATTTGACGACGCATATCCGCACTCACACGGGGGAGAAGCCGTTTAGCTGTGACGTGTGTGGGCGGAAGTTCGCGAGGAGCGACGAGAAGAAACGACACGCTAAGGTAAGTCTAGGCCACCTTTGATATTATTTTTTTTGCTAGTTTACACACCAACATTGAACTATAGATCATACCAAATAAACTTTTAATCACGTGATATGTAAGCTTGACCTATTTTCTTTTAATCAAAATATTTTAGGAAATAAAAATAAATTTATTATAAATATACCAACAGTTTTTATTAACATCAACAAAACTCACCTTGTTAAGAGCACTTAAGGGACATAAAGGGCTAATGATGGGCATTTCTACCGCTTTCCCGTTGTTCAAAATATTCTAATAATGTTGCGATTAGTTTTTTGCTTTAAAAGAGGTTCTAAAAAGGACAATGTTCGACTGCAAGGTCTGCTAGTAAAAATTGTAAAAAAAAGTATATAACACAATTCGTTTAAACCAAAAACTTTTAATACAAAACTAAAGTGTCAAAACGAACGACAAGGTTAGAAAATAAATAAATAAATGCAGCAAAATAAATAAATAAATGGAAATATATATTATATTTCAGAAATCTTTCTAAGGCTTAGCCCGATCCTGTCACGATAAGCCACAATTAAAAATTTCAAACACACGTGCTTTGATTAATGCTTGATTAAGGTTTGCAGAGCTTCAGCATTTGCCATAAAATAGCGAGCAATTTGTTACAAAACCATATAAATTATATATCACTGTAATCACAGAACTTCAATCTATTTCCGTATTGTAACGGAAATTTAAATTATGTCTTTATTTTCCAGAAAATTTAGTCCAAACATAAGGAATGTTTTGTTGATGTTTGACCATCAAAATCTTAAAAATAAAGAAGTTGTCTAAAAATGTGCTACAATAGGAATATAGTATAATCCTTTATCTTTAATCTCCTTCTTCATTTGTGTAAAAATATCTAGCCAATTTTGCATAAAACGTTAAATGCCGAACTTTCTATTTAATTCATCTAATCTAAATAATCTACATTATTCAAGGACACGTGGATATATATTTGTGTACCCTCAAAATATGATCGATTGATTTGACTGATTTCAAATATGATTTCCGTCTGGCCTTCAAACGTGCTCTTTTCGAGGCTTTTTTAGACAGTTTTATTTCATTTTTTCATAGATTAAGAAGGTTTTTCTGTTTATACATAGTAAGTATATCGATTGATGTTAATTAAAGACACTATGAACATATAAAAAACATGTTCAGACCTATACATACTAACTCTCTACATCATATTTAATAATAGTTATTTAGAAAAAGATATTAAACTGAAAATGCAAAATAAACAACGTCGAAGCGCTGAGAAACTGTCACGATCTCGGCTCAGCCGTCCGTCGTAATCCGAAGAATATTGGTAGCACCTGAACGTCTATTAAATAAGCTGTTTTTAATAAATATTTATTACGTCTAATGGCAGCTCATTATCGGAAATATATTGACAGATACTAATTGCTGGCATTTCACGCAGAGTGAGGCTGACTGCCACTGACGACGGTGATGGGGAAAAAATTATCGCAAATGGATTTCTGCGCGCTGGTATTAGAGAGCTACTACAGGTCGATATAAAACGTGAAACTGTAGCTTTGATAAAATTCTCTCTTTCTATCTATTGGTACAGGGACATCATTTTAAGTGACTCACTCAATTTATAATTTCTCTGTTTCGTATTTAAAGATAATAGAAAACCTTTTTAACGTAACTTTTTGCGAGGATGCCGATTTTCTACCTGAAAATTTTTTAAAACGTCAATTGTGACAGATATGATTTTTTTTAAATGGAGACCCTCACATATTTTAGCATTTTCCGGTAGACAATTTTTAGCTAATTTCAAAAATATATATGATCGGGATGCTAATTTTCTAGCTCAAAATTATTTAAAACGTCAATTTTGACAGATACGATGCTATCTTGATTTTTTATTTCTTTAACTCTCTGTATATCGAAAACGGGAATTGCAAACTATACTAAACTATATATTTTTGAAATTACCTAAAAATTGTCTACCGAACGTTGCTAAAATATGTGAGGGTTTTCATTTTAAAAAAATCAAGATAGCGTCGACTCTGTCAAAATTGACGCTTTAAAAAATTTTGAGTTAGAAAATCGGCATCCTCACAAAAAAAATGCATTAAAATATCTTTCTACCACTTAAAATGATGCCTCTGTACATAATGATTATGGTAAATAATTTTACATTTCAATCTAGAGTTGGTTTGGTAACCTAACACTATTTTTTAATCAAGGAGCCTTGGAAAAAAAGATTTGATCGTCTAGTGTTTTGCGTGTCTTGTCCTGGCCGGTTAAAAGATGCCCAAATCGTATTTTTAATCATTTCTCAATTTTTTCAAATGAAACGAGGTTGCTCATTAGCATATTTACAAAAAGCATTTTTTACGAATAATTTGGTACCACACACTTCGTATTTCGAGTCAAATTGTCGTTATGAATCGCATGTGTTATAACTTCAAATAAACAATATTTGAAATTTTTTATCGAATAAAGGTACAAAATAGCGATTTAAAAATCAAAAGTTTTAGTCATTTCCGGTGAAACAGGAAGTGACCGAAAACAATTGAATACGTCAACCAATCATAATTTATGTCATATATTAGCATACCAAAACTCGATTTTTTATCTAAAAAAATGAAAAAGTTATAGGGGTGAGCCACTTATGAGACACACCCTGTATACCTTATTTTTCTTTACCGTTTTTCAAATAAGTCCAGAATAACCGAGATATTTTACTTTGAAAATTTCCAAAAAAAATCCATAGACATAGACGTTTTTGACTCACCCTGTATAATGTCGAAGGAAATTAACGGAAGTCTTATTTTTGTTGCAGGTTCACCTGAAACAACGCATGAAGAAAGAATCGAAACTCTCTTCGGGCGGCTCCTCGTCAGCGAACAACAACAACAACGCCACCCAGACCCCCACGACGCACGTGCCATCACCCTCCCCCCATCATCACACCCACCACCACCATCACCACATGCACCCCCACCAGTTGCCGTCCCACACCGTCACCAGCGACGATGCCAACCCCATGGACAGGGTGTCACATGCACCACTGTGAGATTTGCCCAACGCCGACCGTGTAAGTTACCTGTATTTTACACGGCACTGGTCACTATATTTCCGTGGTCTCTGTTTTAATGCATACGACAGAGATAAATATATACGATCAGTTGACAGACAGAGAGACAAAATAAAAAGCGGCAGTGTTGTCGGTTTGTACTTGAAGTAACATATAATACGAAGATAGAATATCTAAGCTACACACAACCCAAACTTATATGGTCTCACTCTTTATTTCTGACTGAATTTCTTGATATACAACTTTAAGGATAAGGCTTTTTGTTGTAAATAAAGTTGATAATAAAGAATAAACGACTGTTGCGATTTATTTCCTTTTGAATTTTGTGTTCAGTAGTAAAATCACGATTGTCCGGTAATTTTCATTCGACCCAAAAAAAAATAAAAAAATGCCTTATATTGGATTAACAGATGTAGAGAGGGGAAGAATTATTAGAAGTCCCAACGAGACGTAGCAGAGATAGTAGGCGTTACCCATGGTGTTGTATCGAAAACATATGCCAGGTACTTGGAATTAAGAACACACAAGAACATGCCCAGACAAAGTCGTCAAAGAGTCACAACTGAACAACAAGACTGCCTTGTGTGCCAAATTTGCTAGAAGAAACCCCAATGTTTCTCATCCAGAGCTACAAAGAATTATTGCTCCCGTTGAAGAAGAAATGTCCCAGAGAGACGTAGCAGAGATAGTAGGCGTTACCCATGGTGTTGTATCGAAAACATATGCCAGGTACTTGGAATTAAGAACACACAAGAACATGCCCAGACAAAGTCGTCAAAGAGTCACAACTGAACAACAAGACTGCCTTGTGTGCCAAATTTGCTAGAAGAAACCCCAATGTTTCTCATCCAGAGCTACAAAGAATTATTGCTCCCGTTGAAGAAGAAATGTCCCAAAGAGACGTAGCAGAGATAGTAGGCGTTACCCATGGTGTTGTATCGAAAACATATGCCAGGTACTTGGAATTAAGAACACACAAGAACATGCCCAGACAAAGTCGTCAAAGAGTCACAACTGAACAACAAGACTGCCTTGTGTGCCAAATTTGCTAGAAGAAACCCCAATGTTTCTCATCCAGAGCTACAAAGAATTATTGCTCCCGCTGAAGAAGAAATGTCCCAAAGAGACGTAGCAGAGATAGTAGGCGTTACCCATGGTGTTGTATCGAAAACATATGCCAGGTACTTGGAATTAAGAACACACAAGAACATGCCCAGACAAAGTCGTCAAAGAGTCACAACTGAACAACAAGACCGCCTTGTGTGCCAAATTTGCTAGAAGATAGACAGACAACTTCTGGCAGCTACAGGTGTGAACGTTTGAGTTGAAACAATAAGGAAAAGGCTTCGTGCTCGAGGGTTTTACAGTAAGAGAGAGTTACGGATCCCAGTTATCTGGCAAAATAAAAATGAACGGCTAAATTGATGCATTCAACATCAAAACTGGAACTGAGAATTGGCAATTTCTGCTTATTTCGGATGACACCAGAATTGCCCTAAGATCAGATGAGCATCGAATTCGGGTTCTCAGAGCTCCAGGAAGACGAGCGAGACTCCAGGCTGCCCCAAATCTGTACCAAGATATAATATAACTGTAATTTTCTGGGGAGGTATTATACTGGGAGCAAAAACTCCATTGTTACAACTTCAACAAACTTTAACGGGTCGGAGATATGTTGATTTAGTGCTAGAATCAATCGTTGCCAATCAATCTTTGGAGAGAGTTGCAATTGGGGATAATAATAATTTAACTTCATGTACGATCGTCCCCATACCAGCAGAGTGACTAGAGAATGTCTTGAAACGAAAGGTGTTGTAGTTTTGAACTGGTCTACATGTTCACCAGATCTAAACCCTATCGAACACTTGTAGAACCAGCTCAAAAGAAGGGTTAGAGCTCGTCGAAACAATTCAGGAAATCTCGCACAGCTTATTGATGCAGCATTAGCAGAATGGGAGAATATACCCCAAGACAACGTTGATAACTTAATAAGAAGCATACCAGCGTGGATAGAAGCTTGCATAAGGGCTAGAGATGGCAACAAGGATTATTAAAATTATCAATTATCAATTTTCTTTTTGTTTTTGCGTTTTGGCCATTAAAAATTTAAATCTCAATTTCGTTTCAGAAACCAAAAAAATACCATTGCGTTTATTTTGGGAACTGATAAATTTTTTTATTGCTATATAGATCATTTTTCATTAAAAGTCATTGGTAAGGACTGAGTTTTATTCATAAACACAAAATTTTCATACGTCTCAAAAATTATGAAAAATAACAGATGATATCATATAAGTTTGGTAGTATGAAATAAAATTAATAATGCTCAATTATCTTATACAGTTGCTTGAAAACTTGGAATAAAATATCTGCAGACTCTTTAAGGTGTAAAGCTTTGTTCTAAAACCAAATAAAATGTGTACTTAATTCAAACAGTCTGTCAATTTTGACTTTAAGATAGTAAACAATCCTCGAAGGAAAGCTTTCATTACTGTCTGTCAAAGACTTTCTTCTCCACTCGGTATTGTTTAGTACTACATTTTTTTTGGCCCAATGACTGCTTGATGATATTGCAATTTTCTATAAATATCTAATGGAAACCATTCTATTGTTTCAGGTCCCGGTCGGCGAATGTTTTTTACTTATCCAAGACGACTGTGATCTATCCGGTGTTGCCGACAGCGACGGCGCCCCCAAAATAGTCTTCATCCAGATCGACGAGATCGCCTCCGCGCCGCTGCTGTCCAGCGAGACGACCACAGCGGCGTCCCAAGACCCTCCCAGTACCCTAGTGCCCTATGGTGACCGGAAGGAAGACTCGAGCAGTCCTGTACCGGACACCCCCACCTTGCTCTCACTTGGAGCCAGTTTGGAGGCTTCGGATCCGGGTCCCAGCGGTGTTGCCACGTTGTCTTTCAGTAGCGGTGGGGAAAAGAGTGCTAGTAGGGGGCACAGTCCTAGCATGCCCTTGCTGGATGAAGACGAGAGCAGCGACGAAAGTTTGAAGGTGGACAGTGACTGAATATTGTAAGATGATCTCGAATTTGTTTAGTGGATAGTGATGATTTGATTCCCGGTGCTTTTTAGTTAAGACGGCTGTTTTGGTGAGGGTAGGAGAAGTGAAGGGGGTTTTTCTGGACGTCAAAAAGTAAAATTAAGTGACGGGATGCAGTACAAGTACTGCAGAATAAGAGGATTAGAGTAATGATACTTTCTGATTTTTTTATCAGTTTAAAAATCTAAATTTTTAGCGCTTATATCCTGATAATTATGTAGTATGCTCAAAAAGAACAATAATATGACGAAGATAGAAATTTTTGAAGTGATATTTGACACACAATGACATTATCGAATACAAACGTCCATTATTTTAGTATTTTTGAAAATACATATTTTAGAACAAAATGTTGAAAAGAATGCAAGTTCACCAGTAGCACTGTAAGAAAATCTACAAAATAAAATAGTTATTTTTTGTAAATAACGCTGCGTTTATCCAACGGCGACCAACTTTTGTTTCTTGTTCAGAGAGGCTTTTTTAATACAGTCGAATATTTATAAATATAGTTCACATCAAATAAACTTTTAGTCACGTGATTAAGCTTGACCGGCACAGCGTTGCCCACTTTTACATATTTTCTTTTAACCAAAATAGTTTAGGAAAAAAAATAAATTAATTATAAATATATAAACAGTTATTATTTACATCAACAAAACTCACGTTTTTAACAGCACTTAAGGAACATAAAGGTCCATTACTATCGCTTTCCCGTTCAAAATATTCTAATAAAGTTGCGATGAGTTTGTTTACGGCTATTAAGCTATCTTGTACACTTCGCACTTAAAAAGGTTCTAAAAATAACAATGTTCAACAATGCAAGAACTTTTTCTGTAAATTAACACTTTTTCTGTAAATTTGCACTTTTTCAGGATACTTACATTTTTTTCTGTAAATTTACGCTTTTTCTGTAAATTTACATTTTTTCTGTAAATTTACAGATTCTCTGTAAATTACATTTTTCTGTCAATTTCTGCGTTAGTGGCAACATTGGTGCGATATTCCATCCAGAAAATGTAACGTGAAAATCCGTCTATATATACAGCTAAGTGTAAATTTACAGAAAAAGTGCAAATTTACAGAAAATGTATATATTTAGAATTTACAGAAAGACTGTAAATTTAGTATACCTAATCTGTGGTTTTATTCTGTAGATTATCTTACAGTGCAAGAGGCTAAATACCCACAGAAAATTAAAATCATCCTTAAAAAATCTGAAGTATCACTTCTGTACCCAATATTATTCTGTAACAGGACCTCATAAGTGCCATAATAAGCATCATTTTTACTTTTTTCACTTTTTTGACGTAAGAAAATACCTCCAAGTTTATGTGATTCGTGTTGGTCATCGAATGTTGCGTGCCATTAACAAAAAAAGTATTTTCTTTCGTGTTATAGTACTTCTCTCAAAAATTTAAGTATAGCTACGTGACATAAACTCGTTTGAAATCGCCAAAAATTAACTAACTCTAAATCCGGCAGTGTATATTACGCTTTAAAAAATCTAAAACCCCCCTCAAAATACTGTCGAATGTTTTCTCTATTCTAACGGCTTTTTCAAACTTGTTATTAACATGTGTAAGTGTTATGTTTCTTTTGGAAATTAAGATTTTTTGAATGGTGTTTTAATGAAAAAATGTTTTTAGAAAAAATTCACAATAAAAAATTGCCTGGAACCTGGAACTTATAAAAATAGATTTTTGACCCACCCTAATACCTACTGTTTGTTTTGAGACATTATAGAAAACTTTTCTGTTATAATTTCAGAAAAAAATTCACAAAATTTATACCAAAAACATCGTTCAAGATAATTTCAGTTTCCATCAGAATTAACAATCGATCTCTTCTCCTCATTGTATATAGAAATATACTGCTCTACCTAATTAAAAGAAATGAAACCAAGCCAGTGTATAGCTGCACTCGACTGATGTAGTACAGCGATGCCATATCGCCGATAAATATAATGGTTGTTGAAAAATTAAATTATGAAGAAAAAATATGAATCTATTTAAAATAAATCCTATTTTTGTATTATAGAATTACCTTTCAAATCCTTGTTATATACTGAGATGTTTATATCTTTGTGTTTTCGTAGATTTTGTAATTATTAACTAAAACAAAAGCTTTAATTAATTCTTTAGGGTTAAAGTGTTTTTAAAAAAAATGCCAAATAACACTGTTTTTAATACATTCCGTAGATTATATTTAATTATTTAACTCATTAAGACTTAACAGGATAAAATGTCATCTTTCAGTGGACGAATAATGCATCTTTCTTCTCAAATTAGAAAAAAAAATAGACAAATTTCTTACACAATTTTTTTTAATTATTATTTTTTTATAACAATACATGCGAGTAGTACAAAAAAAGTATTTTTATTCTTTTTATCCAAATGTAGCAGTTTTATTCTTGAATCACAGTTAAAGAAAATAAGTTTATAAGGTGATCCAGTATTCCTTCAGCTCGAACTTAGTTGGAGCTCTTTTTGGGACACTGTATCACCCTGTATAAACCGTGTAATCTATTCAATGTCAATGATACCGATTATCTTGTCAATAAAAGAAACGCCTATGAAAAATCTCGATGTAGTATTGTCAAAAGAATCTTCGAATATCGCGATTGCCTTATAGCGAGTGTCTTTTTTTACAATAAACAGTAGAGAGGCCAGAGGTTTTCATAGTTACCAATATATAGATTTAAATAGAGTCTGGATAGCAAAAAAATACTGGAAAAGAAAACATAATGTGCAATTAAATTTACTCTCACCTGTTAATCGATGAAAGACAAAATCATTGGGAAATTTTAGTGTTCAGTGATAAATAAGTGAAAATATGCGCCCCCAAAACACACCTAAGCGTAGAGCTGCCATCACGACATTGAAAAATATTTTTAGCAAAATTTACACTTTTTCTGTAAATTTACACTTTTTCAGTATATTCATTTTTTTTTCTGTAAATTTACACTTTTTTGTAAAATTACACTTTTATGTAAATTTACACTTTTTCTGTAAATTTACACATTTTTTAAATTTAAGTTTTTTCTGTAAATTTACACTATATCTGTAAATTTACACTTTATCTGTAAATTTACATTTTTTTCTGTAAATTTACACTTTTTCTGTAAATTTACACTTTTTCTGTTAATTTACAGATTCTCTGTAAATTACATTTTTCTGTCAATTTCTGTGTTAGTGGCTACAGTGGTGCGATATTCTGTAAGTTCCATCAGTCAGTTCTACGTCAGTTTATTCACAATATAACGTGAAAATCCGTCTATGCAGCTCAGTATAAATTTACAGAAAAACGGTGAATTTACAGAAAAAGTATAAATTTACAGAAAAGTGTAAATTTACAGAAAATTTTAAATTTAAAATTTACAGAAAAAACTGTGAATTGTAAATTTAGGATTTACAGAAAAAGTGTAAATTTACAGAAAATGTGTCAATTTAGAATCTACAGAAAAACTGTAAAATGTAAATTTAGAATTTACAAAAAAAGAGTAAATTTACAGAAAAACTGTAAATTTTGCTAAATATATTTTTCAATGTTGATATGGCAGCTCTACGCTTTCGTATTTTTCTGTATTTTTAGAAAACTTCTTGGAGCTGCAGGTTTATCTATTTTTTAGTATATATTTTAGACAACATTTTATAACTGAACACAAATTACTCAAGGTTCTTTCTTTCGTCCTCTTTGTTATATTCTTCTTTATTTTTTATTTATACAAATTTATATTTTCTATACTTTAGAATATTTATCTTGTTACTTGTTGAGAATAAAATAAAAGATTTTTGTTTCTTTCTGTTACGTGAACTATAAGTGGTTCACTTTAAAAGGCCTAAAATTTTACTAAAAGTATTGTAAATTAATTAAATTAATCGTAACCCCCCCTAATTCTAGAATGTCCTGTAATATATCTTGTAAATAGAAGAGAAAATAACGTACTATACATTTTGTAAATAGTTAATGTAATATTTCAATTGTTAAATCAAAACAGATCGAAATATTGTTGATTACGTCTATATATTTGTTGTAAACTGGTTCAGCTAAAAGCACAACTTTTTAATTTTTATGTATCTGTCTTTTTAAAAGAAACGCCCTGTCTTTATACCCCATGTTCTATGAAGATTTTGCACGGTTTGTATTTTTCTATATTCTATAACCAGTCTTCTTATTAAATGTTTGATATCCCCATGTATGTTTGCAAGCAGTTTCATCCACCCTCGTTAAATATAACATCGAAAATCATCACTATGTTACCTGTTGCCAAATGTACAAAAAACAATTCAAAAAGAAACTCACACGCACATTTTTGAAAACTAATCACTTTAATCGATGTTATATACGGGGGAGGAGTGGAAAGTACTCGCAAAACGTACGAGGCTACGTTAAAAAGTTTTCAATCACCCAAGGCTGTAAGATCTTATCGTATTTTTCTAAATGTGATATTTGGATACATGGATTTTGTCTAAACTAAGATAATAAGCGTTAAAACTTGTAAAGTTGACCGAAAAAAAATAAGTCTCACCTTTTACGAATATGTTGATGTGTTCTCGTCTCAAAGATGTATTTCCCAAACAAAAAACAATGAAATAAATATGCTAAATAATATATACAAAGGCTTTTATTTCCATAAACCCTTACCCCAAATAAAATCGTTTTTAGGAAGACCAATTGTTAAAATAATTGGTTTCTCTCTCATTTGCTTTCTGGAGGGTGATCCGAACTGTGTTCCGGAAACTTCATAAAAGTAAGTAAAAAAGTTGTATAAATGTATGTCCGAAAATACTTAGTTTCCCAGATACAGGGTGTAGAAGTTTCATTTTTACTTTGATTTATTCCTAATAATTTCCGAAGTAACTTAATATTTGGATGAAAATTGGTGTCTGGGAGTTTTTTGACATGAGAAATTTGATTTTGATGTCAATATGACTCCTATTTGTAGAGGGCGCCACCTACATGTGTTTTAACTGTTTTGAAGAGTAATAACCTTTTGTCCGTACCTGTATAAAACTACTGAGTGAAAAAATATACATTTCCGTGACTTTTTACGTAAAAAATATCTCTTGGTAAAAATCGCTATTAGCAACCGTTCTCAAGATATTTAGAATGAAGATAGTCAATACATGTCATTATTGACACAAAATAAACACGTTGAGTAGATAGTTATTTGACTGAAATAATAAATCTGGGAAATTTTTATTTTTTTAAAATTAATCATAAATTTAAAAAAAAAATCAAAGTGAAAATGAAACTTCTACAACCTGTATCTCCGAAACTAAGCATTTTAGGACATACATTTATACGAACTTTTTGACTTATTTATCTGCAGAATATCCTACCGAAATTTCCGGAATACAGTTCGGACCACTCCGTATATTTTAAATCTGAACTAAACATTGTGTAGATACAATTAAATAAAGACTATGGGTAGTCTGAAATTCTTTTAGTTAGAATTCTTTTAATGACAAACACTTACTCACAATATCACTGGTAGTGATCTCACAATAATTTGACTTCTCTCTCCGTTACTAGTTATAATT